CAAACCACTCTGAATGACCAAAAGGCTCTCAAAGAGTGAACGATACAGATGGACAGATACACGTAGGAAGTTGTAACAGTCCCCAAAGACAGCATATTTTTTTCACATTTATGACTGTTTTACCATTATCAGCATTACATACAAAAACTCAGAAGACACTGGTTTTGGATAGTAAATACAATGGCTATATTTGTGCTGTACACTTTGTGAATGAACCCTGGTTCCCATCACCACCACTGTAAAGAAATTTGTGCCAGTGCCAGGTTCTCTATAATCCCAGCACAACACTCTTTGACGTTTTTGACAACAATTGTACAAGAACTGTGTAAAATTGTTGAAATTCACCTTGAAATTCACCAAACTGCTGTTATCTTAAAGTACTTGGAGTTCTGAATTGTTCGTAAGAGGAAAGAACTCGGCCTTATCTCTTTAAACATGATGTCACTGCAAAGAAAGAACCCTAATAAGCCAAGACTTGTTCTCTAAAGCTCTCATTATAACAGCATGTTCTTGAAGAGAACACAGAGCATGCAGTGTGTTCCAGCTCTCACACATAGTTTGACACGTCTGTACATTTAAAAATACACTGAAACCATTTGGCAGATGCTAACAAACTCAACACATTCTCAGCCTCTTTCTACATTCAGGTTGCATACTGCCCATGTATTAGCATCTCAATATGAAACAGCTCATGTTGAAAACATCATTATCTGAAACTCCAGCCTTATTGATTCAATGAGAGCTCACTCAAGCCATAGTCACCTTAGTTAAAACCGAGGGAGTATTTTCGTATGTGCAGCGACTCGTACGCGGGCCATAAATCGCGTGCATAATACCAGTCCACTCTATAAAAATGTCACCGATACACCTTGCTCGCCCTGGGCTGACATTTCTATTCTACAGATGGAAAAATCATTTCTGTGCGGCACTCTTGACAGATGAGCTGGCACCCAGAGACATGATTTAAGATCCTTCTTTTCCTTTTGCCCTCTACTTTTGCTTACGCCGTTAGTTTAATACAGGACTCTTTGCTTGCATTTGTCTTTTTTTCTTTTTTTTTCCCCTCCTCCTACTCTCCTCCTCGCAGACCATAGCGCGAGCCAATTTAAGAGCTACTGTAAATGTCTTCTTCTTAAAAGCTGGTGCAGTGCTGAGATCTTTGCTGGCATGCTCTCATTGATCTGGTATGTTTACAAGATCACGTCCAGCCGGTTGTCTTTTGAACAAGGCAATGCTTGCGTGGGCACCTCTCCGCTTGATTTATCTGACCTCGATCTCAGTGTGGGCCTGCTGTTGTTTTTCTGTCTTTTTTTTTTTTCCAAACTATGAATAATGCAGCTCAATCTTCATTACGCTCAATCAATTATGGGTCATGATTGATGGACTTCATGACCTTACGTCCAGTAGATGAGTCTGTCATTACCTCGTGAACAACAACCCACACTGTGCTTGCACGTGCATTCACATGCAGAGTGAGTGCTCGGGAGCACATACTGGCTCCTGCACCGCACACGAACCACACAAAGCATCTCACACAGGCACATGCACATACTCTTTCAATGTCATTCATTCCTCCTTTACCCTTGTCCTGCCTTTCTTTCTCACATATTGAAATGAGAAGTGTGTACTGTTTCTGGCCTCTTTGTTTCACTCAGACAACAACAACAACAACAACTTTTCTAATTCCCTCGGTTAGTTAATTGCATTCGGCATTAAGGTCAAAGTCCCAATCAACTGGGCCTTGTAATTCAGCTCACCATGTGATAAACTGGCATGGTAATTTCACTGAACAAACACAAGGCAGGAGTTCACAAACCTGTATTTTGTACTCAAACCAACTGTCTAGCCTGGGGTCATCTCAAAGCAATACAACAACAGTTGAAGCATACGCACTTGAAAATTACATTTATCAGTAGCTGCTGTCAGATACAATTCCAGAACTGAGGTTTCCCCTTTGGTCTCTATTCAGGCTTGCTGAAAGAGGTCTACAAACTAAAGCTCAACAGAGGACACAGATCTCATAAACCACTACAAAAGCTTCAGCAAAATTCAAAGTCAGCACTGCAAATTCAGTTTGTATGCAGCACATATCGGGAGCCAGCTTTCCCACCATATATTAGACTCTAGTAACAGATAGGTAGGTGGGCGATATGGCAGAAGTTTAATATCATGATACCTGAAGACATTTTCGTGACACACACTATGTATCACAGAATTTAGTTTTATTTTTGGTAAGTGAGAACAGACAAAAAAAACACCAGAATCTATATATTTTGTTAAATAAAACCAAATTCAAACAGGACTAATTACACCATTTCCCACAAGCCCGAAACAAACCTGGGCCACCATGGAGAGAGGTTAATATATAGCTATCCTAACACATCATTAGGGCTAGATATCATTAAAAATATTTGGATATCAATACCAACACCAATTCCTTAAAGCTACACTATGTAAGTTTTGGGGCTTTGGCGACCTCTCTGGTGGAATGTGTAACGGCACTTGCAAAAGCACATTTTGGATTGTGCTTCAGGCCCCTTCCCCAAGCATCTGAATCTGATGTTTGCGAGCGTTTTGAAAGAGAATTCAAAAAGAAATCAGTCAATGTGAAGGATGTGTCTTCCGAGGATGTAAGTGAATGACCTACTATTGTCATCATATCTTCATTAATATAATGCAGATTTTGCATTTGATACCTAAACATCGAGCTAAACTTTCGTTTTTGGGCCTACATGTCCGACATTATTACGTAAAGATGTATGATATGGTGTGAAAAATTTCTGCAAAATCCAATCCAATCCGGCTCACAGCAGCACATGGATGCCATATTTTAGTTTGGTCGTTTTTTCGTTCCTGACTCAGTAACGCTACTTCTTTCAGGTTTAATAAGAAACGACATAATGCAGCTTTAATTTCAATTTCTTTTTCATCACAAGCCAGAAACGAGTGTGAGGTGCTGGAAGTGGATACACTTATTGACTACAACAAATTACAGACTAACCAAGAAGCACTCATGTTAGTAACGCAAGTGTCATGTAATTTAGACTGCGAATCAGCAGTCTAGACTTTGGAAGAAGTATGCCTACTGGCTCACAGATGATAAATGACTACTTAAGTATAAGTTTTTATTATATATTATTTTATTATATATTTTATTTTTATTATATATTTTATATATTTTTATATTCAGTATCAAATTCAGGATATTACAAATGGAAATTGAATATTGTTAAAAGAGGATGAAATATACTCGGGTGGGGGAACAGCCTAACTGTGGGAAACACTAATTATGCTCTCTTTGTAATGAAACATATAGCTGGTCAGGCTCTGTACTGACGATATCCACAATGTTCCCAGAAAAGCATACTGTGATGTAAATTATTGCGATAATGGTAAATATTGTTATACTGCCCAGCTCTAGCGACCATCACAACAGTTCTGACTTGGTGAAATGCAGCACTGTCATCCGTATTTACACAGACAGCCACATCATGGGTCAGTGTCCACACTGACCTAAAAACCGTCTATCTGTAATACTGTTTACCTTGCTCAGCACAGCAAAGGTTGAGAAGGGTGGCATGGAAAAGTTCATCAACAGAGAGATTAGGAGATTTATCCACACAATTAAAGAGCGCTATCTACAAACACCTGAGCTAATAAATCCATGACCTTTCAGCCTGTGACTCCTGACCTTCTGACATTTACTACAGCTCTCCACAGCTTCACATTGATTGGAAATGTGAAGAACTTAATAAAGTCTCAGGGCCAAAATCCATACTGCTGGTTATCATCAGGACCAAGTGCTAAAGCATTCAACAGTTCACAGCCACCATGGGTGGAAATGACTCACTGCGTTCTTATCTGTATTTAGCCTTCATTTGAATTCTTCCTAAAGAAAACACATTTAAGATGTAAGATAACTACCACAAGCACAAAAATGAAAGAATTTGACGTGAATATTACTCTTCAGATATGGAAAACACTGCAGTTTACAGGCAGAGGTGGACGATATGACAAAAATACAATATTGTGATACTTCAAGAAATATTCACAATACATTATATGTCAAAATATTTATTATTCTAGACATCTTATAAGTTCAGAAAAAAATAACCAGAAGAGCTACATTTTAAACCGTGAATACAATGATTTTTATCCAGTATTTGGAATATAGTGAACTAAAATTCCCAATTTTGCTCTCTTTATAATGAAACATGCAGTTGGTCAGTGTGCTACAAGTACTGACTGATAGCATGATATGTTGAGAAAAACATACCGTATTGTATTGTGACAAATTTTATCACGATAAAGATACACACTGTCATACTGCTCAGCCCTACCTACAGGTAGCCTACAACAGACTTCCATAGCTCCAGGCACATGTTGGCCAGTAGGCTACAGGCTACAAGACCTGAGGGAACTGCCACCTATTTGTTTTGTAGACCTGCTAAATCGAGGTAGTCACATAAGAGGCCACAGGCCACAGGGTCCATCAAAATCAACCACAATATCCTGTTTTGCATGTATTGTGTTTTGACTTGGAATAGATGGAAGGACCCCTGATGCCCAGCAGCATAAAGCAGGCTTTCCTAGCCTTGCCTTTCTTCATCTTCATGTCAACTGTTTGACTGTACACATGAAACAAAATGTCATCCTCTACTTACTGTACCAGACCATACCTAGTGTTTACGAGTAAACACTGGCTGGCAACCCACAGTGGAAAACCCAAGCCTGACCACAATGAAACAAAATGGAAACGTCAGCTCCTACTACCTCGTCACAGTGTGACATTCCTGCTTTCAACTACTTATTATTTCACACGAAAATATAGAGCCTCTCAAGCCTCGCGAGCTAGTTTAATGCCACAACGCGGGCTGGCACCTTCAATTCAGCCTATTCAGGCTTCGTTTCCCACATTAGCGAGTAACTGAGGACCATCCGTTTCTCTCAAGCAGCTAATGTTACACATCAGGACTGTGTACCCTCAGCTGAGCACGTACCTGTTCAAATGGCTTCATATGATGAGAGTCCTCTGAGAATTGTGCTGCGTTGTGGGCTACAGTCTTCTGGCCACATGTTCATGCTCTCTTGCCAAGGTAGACCAACCCAAACTCACTGGGTATACGTTTTTTTTTATATATATATATTAAAAAAGTGATATGGTCTTTGCTGTATATGAGCTACGCGCCTTTTCTATCGTTCCCTCTCCGCTTTAGAGTCAATGCAGTCGACTGGCTGAATTGTTTATGCGAGGTATCCCCGGCACTCTGCAATGCCATGTACACGCCCACCCGTATTCCGACAAGCCCCGCCTCTCTGAACTCGGATTGGTTAGAAGCGTTTCTCCTTCTGTGCTATGATTGGCTGAAACGCTCTCATCTCCTGTGTTAGGATTGGCTGGTAGCTCGTACTCGCCAGTAGCCCGCTAATCAGAGCCCACGAGGCGGGGTTTTCAAGGATTACGGGTGGGAAAAGAAATCCTAACGTCACGTACACTCCTCCCAGCCTTAAAGCCACAGCACAAATATTTCTGCCTCATACCAAGGCTGTGATATAATTAGGCAGGCCTATATTAAGGTCTTGTATGATTACACGTAGCCAGCACAGGGGAGCTACATCTCCTCAGGCTTAGACCTGTTCAATTACATGTTAGGATAGTGCACTTCAGAAACTGCCTTTCGGCTGCTGTTGGAAGTGAATAAATAAGGTAATTTTTAAATAAATAAACGCTGAAATTGTAATTTTGGTTAACATTGACCAATACTCAACAAAAAAGTAATTAAATATGCAAAGTTGTTAATTAATGTGTGTCATGTTTTAAATATATATATATACCCGAATTTTCTAACATTTCTAGCATGAATCCACTCCTTACTACACACAAAATAAGCAATTTGAGGGTAGAAGCCATTATTTCATGACCAATGTGGTCCACCACATATAGGACGCCATCTGAGATTCAGGTTTAGAAACATATGAAATTTAATCAGAAATGAATTCTCTGTAATTCTAACCTCCTTTTTACATCTTAAATAGATTATTATATCACTTCAAATAGGTATAGTGATATCTATTTTCATTTCACTATGTATATATATCCTTGACAATTCACAGCTTTTGACTTTACACCAAGTTCACACCTCAGCAGCCCACATGACCAGCTTTTAGCTCTGGCTAAAGCAAACATGCCGTGCTGTGGCTTCAGAAGGCCGAGATCCTGCTGGGAGTCACTATCAGCCATCAAGAGTTTCACAGTTTGCTTGGGTACAAAAAGATGTGAAGGTGTTGCTGCCCCTCCCTGCCAGACCCGCTCTAGCATTCAAAAGCCGTCGCATGTTTGAATCTTGTATTGGCCTGCCTTTTGCTGCTGGCCATTGATTATGCATTTTAAGGGGTCAACCTGAACTCTGACTGGGTTCAGTTGAGGACAGCGGCAAAATGTGGCCCTCTTTGTGTCCAGGATTTATTGCCTGGTGTATTAATTGTATGTTTTGAGCTCGTCTCACACTGTTGTGTATCTGCACTCTGTGTAGCCCTGTGTAATGTGCTCCTGTTAGGTGTTGCACTATTGGGCCTGAAGAACAATGTTTCGTTCCAATGTATACAACATATATTGAGGAATAACAATAAAGACCACTTGACTTGTGTGATATTTATGTTAATAAGCTTTGTTCTTATTGGCTGCCATGTATTGTGTCTTATTCAGAGTGCAGGCTTAAACACTCCAGTGCGAATGGGCAGAGCTAAACTGCTGTAGGCTGAGAAGGTGGATACTTTACTGTATGTAAATGAGTTGTTTTTGTATCATCACAAACACACTGAATTTAAAGTGGGCTGTTTTTGCAGCCATACAGTCTGCAAAGTGAACGGTAAGAAGTGAACGGTAAAACTTTATAAATGTATACATACTACATTAAACTCCAAAAAGGGAGTGAAATTCCATTTCCAATTATGTGAGCCCTTTAAATGGCCAGGAGCTGCCAGCAGGTCAAAGCTTCCACTCCTCACCCCTATGATTTAACCGATGTTTTATCCTTGGGGTCAATTTGACCCCAGCAAATTAAACGTCCAGGAAATATCAAAGTGGAAATTATGTTTTCCTCTCTCAGATAGTTCTCTGTCATGTGTTCTGGCACTACGACAGGTGTGATTATGTTAGGCTAGGGCCCTAAAGCAGAAGGAAGTTTTTTAATGATTCTAAAATTTTTATTATAGTGACTTAAATAATATCCAAAACAAGCAAAACAAATGTGTGTAAAATGTTATAATTTCTTATGTTTCATATAGCTAAAACAGCCTGGGGTCAAACTGACCCCTAAGAACACATACAAAATGAGTACAGGACATTGGAAATATATCATCATGTTAATTTGGTGTTTACTGAATTGTCCCCATTAAATTAGGAAAAGCCATTAAATATGAAGTATGACAATCATTTATTTAGAGATGTTAAACATTAAATGGGGTCAAATTGATCACAAACATAATAGGGTTAAGAATGGCTTGAATAATACTGAATAATAGGCCTTAAGATGTAAAAACCTGGGATTTTAAGGGGTTCAGTGCACCTCACCTGAATAAACTTCAAATGATCCATGTCACAGCATGTGATTGTGCTCTATCTCTTATAGTTTAGTCACAGGGGTTGAGTTACATCCTTTTCCTCAATATAACAACAAAAATAAGCAGTGAACAGTTCAAAGAGCATTTCAACCCAGGCCAGTGCACTGTGTCATACAGCAGACCTAAACTAAGCAGACTTTGGCCTTAGCACCTGATGGTTCCAGAAAAAAACAATGCTGGGACTGCCAAGAGACAATGACCTTTGATTCTGCTGGTTTCGCTTGAACTTACTGTGACCAGGAAGGAGCGCAGGCTCCCTGGGACGGCAGGTGCAAACAAGGATATGGGGTGAGGGAAGTGCTAACTGTGATGTCACCTTTGGACTCGAATACAAAGGTTTGGCTGGTTTGGCCAGCAGAGAGAGAAAGACATTACAGTTTAACACAGTATTGACATGGGCACTAAAAATAGGTACATTTGGGCTAGAAGTTGAAGGCTGTGAAGGAGTAAAGCAGCAAAAGTAAAATAAACAAATAATATATATTTATATATATATATATATATATATATATATATATATATATATATATATATATAATATCACAATACTTCACAACATTTTCACAATACATAAGATGCATCTAAACATTTAGTGAAGTTGAGATTTGACAAGTTAGACCAGACAAAAAAGCAACAGTTGTCCATAAACATGTTTAAAATGCTATTAAAAACTATGAATACAATGATTTTAATCCAGTATTTAATTAGATTTAGTGATCTACATTATGCTAATTGGCAATGGCCATCTCTTTGTAATGAAATGCAGTTTGCCAGTGTCCGTTAAGTATTGACAATATCCACAATATGCTCAGAAGAGCATATTGTGACGTAATGTAACGTCATATATCACAATAACAATAAATATCATCAAATTGCCCACCCCTACAACTTTACAAAATATTGCAAAATTATAATGTACCATGTATGATAATAAGCTTTTGTGTCGTAGGTATTGTAGAGCCTTTGCAGGAGGGAACTAATAAAACAACAAAAGTATGTTAAAATGAAGCAAAAATATGTAAAAATATATTTCAAAAATAAATTATTTTTTTTTTACTGGTGATGATGTACAGAGCCGTTTTAAACTGTAATAAAATGTGTGGAATTCACACCTCTACAATAATGCTAATTTCTGCTAGCCCCCCCCCATGGGATTCTAGTAGTATGTTAGTGCTAAGCTAATGCCAATACACATAAGCATTTTTCCAGATTAAATGCAGAATTTGAAGCCTTTTCTTTTTTAACCTTTTTGCAGTTTTACAGTGTTTCTGTAAATAAAGAGCTCTGGTATAGAGCTGCAACCACTGTTTTCCACTTCTAACAGCTGATTGAAATGGTCAGGCTATCACTCATACTCACGGTCAGTAATATATCTAGGACTTCCAGAAGGTCTAAAGTGACATTTTTTCTCATGTGATTGCTTGATTTCATTGTCACTTCTTAGTTATGTTAGTGGTTTACCTGATGCAGTAGCCTGACTTCACCTCAGCTCCTAAAGTCCTAACCAATGGGAGAACTCGCTTGGCTGTATATAGCAAGATACCACAGAGATACCATTGGGCGTTTCAAGATTGTTTTTTTTGCTTTCAACCAAAACTTAACAATGAAATAAAATTATTACAATACTTGCAGATTTTATACATTTTTTGACAGAAATTATTAAGCTTTCTTTGAAGGCCTGCAAGGCCCCGAGAATCCCCCCAATAGGGTTACATCATTTATCATGGGCTAAAATGTGTTATAACATAATCATTAGTAATGTTGCATCTTATTAATGTCTTTATCCAAAGGAAATGTTGATTTTCAAAGGACTCGTCTGGTTAGTATCAAATATCCCTCTGGCAGTGCAATCAGCAGAACACATTCACTTTAAAAAAAAATTGGTCTAAATCGTTATGAAGCTTGAACAAATAGATAAATGGATTGTAGTCCACCTTAAAAGAAAACATGAAAAAATTAATTTCAAGGATTCCATCAATTTCAACACCAGTGGCCATTCGAATATCTGAAACTCTTGGAATGAGGCCATCCCTTCTGCCAAGGCAAATGTTATCTTTTTAGCCGTTCCTTTGTGAGAAATGTGAATAATGTCATGCCTGAAGTAACATAAACAGCCTGAAAACTGATCTACTCCCAAACGTCCTGATTAGCACCTGATGCTGTTTCATAGTCTTGTCCTTTAGCCAGTGTGTCTCCGTCTTCCTCTGAGCTGGACTCTGTGGAGCTCTGTGGCCTGGAGTTTCAGCTCAGGAGTGTGTGTGTGTGCATGAATTGGGACACTCTGTGGATTAAGACCGTATCATAACGTCACCCTCACTACCACACCAAGCAATGTAGATCAATACATTTTGTTTATGCATGCTGCCTGCATACGCAGCACTACATTTCAGAGAATGAAAGGCTGCTATTATGGCTGCTTAAGACCTGGCACAGGCTCAGCAGCAGCTGAACAGGAGCTGCTGAAAACGTAGTGCACTCTATACTAGAACATATATATTCAAACGTAGAAATTCTCTTAAAGGCTCAAAATGAAGAGGTTTAGGGATTACAAGGCTACATGGTCTAATTCTCATTCTTAAAGTCATTGTTTGCAGTGTTTTGTAGTAAAAACAACATATCTTCATTTATAACAGAATAAAATTTAGGGTTTAGGGTTGTG